ACATCTCAGATCCTCGTCTGTAACTCCTCTCCCTTTCACTGTCCTTATGGCTTGGGCAACACATTGGCTGTTTGTTCACATCACAAAATGACATTTTGCTCTTTTTACAGGAGAGGCATGCAACTTGGACAATCATCCTGAGTGTCAACAGCAAGGTATGCTAATCTTTCCCCTCTGATAAGTCAGTCTTAATGAGCTGGTATCAGCCTTGTCCATTTCCCCAGTCTCATACAAGATGGCTGCCATGCCAAAAGCCAAACCCATGGAAGATAATTTGCTTTTAAAAAGAAAAAAACAAAACAAAAAAGGGGGGGAGTGGTGTTCCAAAAATGTACTATTTTCTAGCAGTGGGTATAGAACAGATTTTCCATCTGAAACATTTATACCTCAAAATCAAACAATTCTTTTATCTTTTAGTATCACAAGGCATATTTATACCATATATTTAAAGAGTTTAAAGGCCATCGCTTGACCCCAGGTGTCCCTGAGCACCACAGGGTTTCCCTGGTGATGAGTAGCAAAAATCTTAAATTTCTCCCTCATTTTGGTGGCATAGCAGTGGCCAAAAAAATCCCACCGCTTTCTTTTAAAATTAGGTGCGCAAGAAGAGTGGGCCTTGTTTTAAACTGCACTCTCAGAAGACTCAATGTAATTCAGGTTTGAAACAACTCTTGTACTCCCCATGCACCTTGCTTTAAAGAAACATTCCTTTTGGTCCCTACCGCTCTGCCAAAATCAGCAGTATGTAGGGACAGAGGGCAGCCCGGGATGGGCCCCAGGAGGAAAACAAACTGTCCCTTGCATTCCTGAAATTGTTCTCCCACAGATGTGTTGCTCTAAACATTAACAATACATTTCTCAACAGAGATTTCTTTAACTAGTCTATACGTTTCTTCCTGAATATATTTTTTCTAGAGACCAGAGCCAGAGACTGCAAAGAACTCCTGGAACGTGGAGAGACACTGAGCGGTTGGTACACCATCTACCCGGCCACAAGCAAAACAATGACAGTCTTCTGTGACATGGAGACCGATGGAGGGGGCTGGCTGGTGAGTTTTAACAAAATGGTGCAAAACAGATGAAGTTTCGCAGTGCAGAGCTGCCATGAGAACCAAGTATGGAGAGGGAGGGAAACACCACCAATAGAAATATTCTAAACAAATCAATTTGGCACATTTTGTGCCCATAACCTTGATAGGAGACAATGGCCATGATGGATAATGGTGACAGGGTACTTAAATTCTGTTTTTGAATTAAGACCATGTTTAGGAGCATGAGGTCTGATCTACAACCCCTGCTGATGATCTTGGCAAGAACTGGCTTTGATTTTATTCTAGTTTTCCTTTGAGAAACTCAGTGGGGACCACAAGAGTCTTTCCTTTCCTCCCTGAAACTAGTTAGGCTGGTAGAATGACTTACTCATGTTAACCCAACCGAAATATGAACACAGGTCTCCTCAGTCTTCATCAGTTCTCAATTGTGTAACCATTACATCACCCTGCTTCTTCGATGTAGTGCTCATTAATTATACCTTTGCACATGGTGAGGGGTATTCAAGCCTCATTAAGCTAACTTGAAACCACCCGCCCTGCTCCCATCTAGAACAGGAAACCTGCTTGCCTTTCCAATGGAGTCTTGAGTTGCTATTTCCTTCTTCCCCATTCTCCCATCCAGGTCTTCCAAAGGCGACAGGATGGATCCGTGGATTTTTACCGTAACTGGGAGTCCTACAAAACTGGGTTTGGAAACCAAGCATCTGAATTTTGGCTGGGCAATGATAAAATTCATCTTCTTACAATCTCTGGTAATTAAATTTACATCAGTTTCTGGAGAATTCTCAAGGTGTTGAAGACGAAAATGGAGATTTCTATAGGGAATGGCATGACTTCCTCAAACAAATCTCTGAAACATTTATTTATTCATCGGATCTGTCATAAAAAGCTGCAGACTCTGTTACAGGAAGTTTTGGGTATGGGATCAAGATCTTGATTTATTGGAAATATTTTGCTGGAAAGATTAATATTGTCCCTTAATAGTTGCTATCCTTTAAATGGATCTCTAGAAGATTCCTCGCTCTTCAACACATCCACATGTTCAACCATGAAAGAGATACCATGTGCTCCTCACACTTCTGCATCAGACTAAGCTTGGGTTTGTTTCCACTGGGAGTAAAATGTGTACTATATTTCCCATTCAAAATCACATTTGGAAAAGCAATACAGCTGTGTGTTGGTAGCCTAGAAGTTGCCCTGACATTTATTTATTTGTTCCATTTCATTTTATTTATACCCCACCTTTCTCCCAACAGAGGGAAACAAGGCTGCTTACAAATAATTTAAAAAGCAAGTACTAATTTTTTTTTTAAAAAAGCAGCAATTTAGTTATCCAAAGCCTGTCTAAAGAGAAAGGCTTTTGCCTGCCAGTAGAAGTACAGCAGGGAGGAGCCCAGCTTGGTCTCCTGTGGGAGGGAGTTTCACAGCCTAGAAGCAGCCACTGAAAAGGTCCTCTGTCCCAAATAGGATGTATTTGCACAACAGATGTGACCATCTACCCAGCAAGGTTATGTCTCCTTCCTGCTCCACCTGATATGTGCAAGTAGACACAAGGCACATCCAAACAGGGGAATGTGGATCAGTCTGGTTCACTCTTCCAAGGTTCTTATCTTTAGTGTAAACTATTTTATCCTTTCCTTGAGAGAGCCTTCCGTTCACACTGATCAATGTTTCTTCTCCCATGAGAAGGGTCCAGATAGGTCTTTGGGTTGCTCCAATGTGTCCCCCATGCAGAGCACGATACCATAGTCTCTCGAGACTGAAGGATGCCTATGATGATGATTGACACCCTCCTCCCCACCCACTTTTCCACCTTTTGTTGCTTGCCAGCCTTTTTGACTTTTCTACCTTTTTAAAATTTGCCTCCCAATGAGTCAATGTTGCATCGGATGCAAATACTGAAGGGCACCTCCAAGGCATCCAGAATTGTGCTGTACTGGTTAGGGAGACAGTTAAGAAAAGTTAGAGAAGATGAAAATAGCGGACTGGGTTTCGCCATCATCCCTTTTAAAGCCACAATCCACTGCATACGTCACAGAGAATGCCACCAACAACTCTATTTGGGAGCAGATTGAGCAACTGCACAGGCTAAAGAGCATAACCTGGAACTGCATACATCACAGAGAATGCCTCCAACAGCTCTATTTGGGAGCAGATTGAGCAACTAACTGCACAGGCTAAAGAGCATAACCTGGAATGCTCTAAATAGCACCAAATAAACTGCAGCTCCCGCCCTGTGTCAGAAACTAGAAGGGCAGCTTTTGCAAGGGGCAGGATGGGTCTCTCTTATTCAAAACATGTGTGGCTGCTGTAATAATCACAGAGAATGCCTCCAACAGCTCTATTTGGGAGCAGATTGAGCAACTAACTGCACAGGCTAAAGAGCATAACCTGGAATGCTCTAAATAGCACCAAATAAACTGCAGCTCCCGCCCTGTGTCAGAAACTAGAAGGGCAGCTTTTGCAAGGGGCAGGATGGGTCTCTCTTATTCAAAACATGTGTGGCTGCTGTAATATGATTTGAACCAAACTGCACCCAAAGCAAACCAAATAGTGAGTGATATGCCCATCTGAATGTTAGCTGCTTCCATTCATGAAGGATCTATATGCCTTTCAGTAGCACAAGCTGGATGCTCCCTTTATATCTCAGTTGTTGGGGTGCATGCATCTGAATGCCCCCACAGTTAACTGCTTCCATTCATGAAGGATCTATATGCTTTTTCAGTAGCACAAGCTGGATGCCCCCTTTATATCTCAGTTGTTGGGGTGCATGAGTGGAAAGATGCTTTTGCACTCATCCTGTATGTGAGCATCACATGGCTGACTGGCTACAAAACAAAATGCTGGGTTTAGACACATTTTTCTCCTGATCTATTCAGTTTTTTCTTATGTTCTAAATTTGATTGGATCAGAACTTGGGAAAGGTGTTTTTTTGAAGTGCAGCTTCTGGAGTTTCCTAGCTGCATGACTGACCATACTTGCTGGGGCATGTGGCAAGCTGAAGTCCAAAAGGTTTCTGGTGTCTCTCATTAGGAAGACAGCAGCTGCGGATTGACGTGATGGACTTCAATGACTCAAGAACATACGCTAAATATACGAGTTTCAGAATCTCAAGCGAGAAAGAAAACTACACACTGGCAGTGGGTTCCTATGTTGATGGTGACATGGGTGAGTAAGTCAGAGAATTGCTCTTTCATTTGGGCATCTCTTTTAAGTATCCTTTAAGAAAGCATAAAAATCTTGCTGGATGAGATGAAGTCCTGCCTAGTTCTTTTACCTGTTTCCAAGTTCACTTGTCCTCTCAGACAGGCTATGGAAGGTGACAGCCATGCTTTATAGTCTGTCCCCAGCATTTGGTAATCAAGTATTTCCTACTTTTTAACATGCACATTCTTTTGTGGAGAGAGAATTTTGATGGAAAGTGCATTAAGTCTAGTAGCACCCAATAACTGTGTCTTCCATTAAATTCTCTAATTCTTTTTTCAAAATATCAAAGACTATGCATCACCAGAATGTTTGTAGTGAATTCTCCAGTTATGTTTTGTGTGAATAAATGCTTATTTTTGGATGCTATCATGTGGTGCCTCTTGGGGAGGACATCCCAAAGGCTATGAGAAAGAGTAGATAACCATTTCCAAGGATGGAGAGAATGACAAAATCTGAGGGTGACTGCAAATGCTTGCTTTTAGCTCCTACAGAGATCTGAAATCATTACTTCTCTGACCTGAAGATGGGGAATAGATTTCAGCCTTACAGCTGGCATAAACATTTTTGTTCCCGTTGATTCTAGCGGGAGGGGATCATTAAAAAAAAATCAACATAGGGACAGTGAAAAAAACCCTCTCTGCTCTACTACCCAGCCAGTGCGAGCTCAGCAGGGTGTTAAATAAGAAAGCTCCTTCACCTGAACTGTCCGCAAATCAGCTTCTTTGAACAACTCTGCAGTTATTTTGTTATGAGATAATGCTTATATGGTCATCCCTGTTGTTTCCGCTGTTACAGAAACCAGGTGGAAAATATGGGGTGTAAGCAGTTTGATAAATCAATATTTTCTATCTGTAATTAATAATGCGTATCATTTTCTAATGTTGGTATCATCCTAAATAATTTTTCCAGTTAACATAGTTTGAAACATTTAGCTCAGGAATAGGTGACGGATGGCCATTCAAATATTGTTGAGTTGCAGCTCTCACCGGATCTACTGAGGAGATGGGGCTTCCAATTGAGGAACAATCAAATAGCCCCAAATTACCAAGTAGTACTTTAACTTTTCTTGATAGGGAAGGTATGCCAAGTTCTTGGAGATACTTGGTGAAAAAGACATCAACAGAACTGTTCACATTGTTCTAAATGTGCTTGTCCATTTAAAATAATTATGTGCCAGCAAGTTTATTCCAAGATATGGCAACCCTTTCCAGGGTTTTCTAATTACAGAGTACTCAGAATCAAGTTTACCATTCCACCCGTCTGGGGGCACTCTTGCCCAAAACCACATAGGGTAGCTCTGCTCCCACAAAGGATAGTGGGGAATTGAACTGTCAGAGCAGGTGCTCTGTTTCACTGAACTGTCTGGCCAGCACTTGCTTGTGAAAGTTGTATAATAGTATGATGATGTTTATGTTGCATTTTTAGCAAAAATAACTATTTCCCCCCAGTAATATTTGGTTTTAAATTATGATTTTGATTTGTTGTTCTTGCTCAAAAGGGGTTGGATTTTAATAAAAAGAGAAGGGTTCGGAGGTGTGACTTTTCCCCCCAGAAATCAGGAGTGGGTCATGAGCCCAATGAGTTGTGATAATTGCTGATCTACACTGATTAGAACTGACCATCTATGCAGCGTACCAAATGGGATCTTTTTCAGACTGAATACCAAGGCTGAAGCTACTACAAGCTGAATCTCTTACCTTCTATATGCAAATCATATCCTCTGCCATTTATTTTTGGTCCCTTCCTTAACTACCCCATGGCAAGAATTTGTATCCCCACCCCATCGGCTGCAATCTCTTGAACTAGTGGTACCACCATAAAAAAGGTAAAATCGTTGTTTGCCCTTCTTTCAGGTGATTCCTTCTCAGGACACCGAGGCTTCGCATTCTCCACGCGAGACAAAGACAACGATATCCATGAAACAGCAAGTTGCGCTGTAATGTTCAAGGGTGGCTGGTGGTATAGCAAATGCCATTCTTCCAACCTGAATGGCTTGTACCTCAAAGGCGAACATACCTCATACGCTAATGGCATCAACTGGGCTGCTGGAAAAGGGCACCATTATTCTTACAAATATACAGATATGAAAATTAGACCTCAGTAGTGCTGACACTTTTTATAGACTTGTCCCATGGATTCACTGGCAGATGAACTTTCTTTTCATGTCTGTGTCTAACACAGCTAACATTCAATGTGGAGTACTTTAAATACTGGTGCAAGAGTGCCAGTTTATATTTATGTGGTAATCTCATATACAGATCTCTCCTTTGAACTTGCATACAGAGGCGGCAGACTTTAGCAAGAAAGCCCTGTTATTATTGTTGGTCACGGTAAAGATTATGGTGGTGATGATGGTGAATGTGGCCCTAACAATGAGCGCTCCGTTGCTTCTTGAATAGGGAATTCCTTTCAAATGCCACCCAGTTTTGTCTAACAAAGGGCTAGTTCAAATGAATGGTGGCTAGCCACTTTGACTTCCCCAATAGGCATTTTACTTCTGTAGAGTGTAGTGAAATATCCAAAAGATATTACAAATTTGGTATAATCGCTGTTTTCTAGAAATAATAAAGAGACGTGGTGGCGCTGCAGGTTAAACTGCAGAAGCTTCTGTGCTGCAAGGTCAGAAGACCTGCAGTCGTAATATCAAATCCACGTGACGGAGTGAGCTTCCATCGCTTGTCCCAGCTCCTGCCAACCTAGCAGTTCGAAAGCATGTAAAAATGCGATTAGATAAATAGGTACCCCCTTGGTGGGAAGGTAACGGAGTTCCGTGTCTAGTTGCGCTGGCCACATGAACATAGAAACTGTCTTTGGACAAACGCTGGCTCTATGGCTTGGAAACAGGGATGAGCACCGCGCCCTAGAGTCGGACACGATTGGACTAAATGTCAAGGGGAACCTTTACCTATATGTAGAAATAGTATACTGTCACCATCCCTTTCCTAAAATAGTCTCATTCTTGAGATTCTGGCATGGTGAGAAAGCCTACGTCTGTACAAAACAAGAAGACATGTACCTACAAATGTTCACCTTATATGTACCTTACTCAGATGCTCTTGCCACAATATGCTGACAAAGAATAAGCACAGCTACCAAATCTGAGGAAGGATGAAGAGCAAGCAAAATCACAGCCTGAGAAAAACACTCTGCAGCCATCTGCCAGGGCAGAAAAGGGTGTTTGTGTTTTTATGCAAGCAGATCTGATGCATACTGTATTCAATACAGTTGTGATTTTTCATGCCCATGGTTTTGCTCTGAGGAAGCCTTTCCACATGGAACAAATACAGTGTATCCACATCATCCTGATATGAATATGGATTCTAGACTTTAGCCATTGGTCAACACAGCTGCCTCTGTATTTAGCATTGTTTGAAGGGCAGCAAATCTAACTAACCAGGAATGAAGACTATGGGCTATTAGAAGCTGAGACTTAATAGTTAGGTAACACCACCCAATTTGATCTACTGACTTTTTTCTACCTAGTTCAACATTCTAACCTAGTGGTAACCCAGATGTTCTTGGACTGGCTTCACCACCAGCTGTGCTGATCAGGGTTTCTGGGACTTGCAGTCGAAGAACACTTGGGCTACCAAGGTTGAGAAGCGCTGTTCTAAACTAGCTTCTGACAGGTTAATATAAGCGAATACCTCTCTCCACTTACCAGGGAGCTATGAGCTTGAGACAGGACGGAGACAGGCCAAAATTTACAAATGGACATCATTTTCAGAACATAAAGGAATTTAAATTCCTCTCAGTTCTTTGTTCTCAGTCACAGTAATAGCTGCTTCCTATTGCAGGTCAACACTAAGGTAGGTCACCTGAGAAAGCTACGTTTCAATATTTGTACTGTATTTCTCCCTTTTCCCTCAGAACTGTGATAGGATGAGGGCACAAAGTCTGTAAGATCTGGTCTGGATTTGTGCTTTTGCTCCCATTTCCATTCTCCGTCCTCTCTGCTTTTTGTAACATGACACCTGAGGAAGAATTGACCCCCAGCACCACCACCATTGGCCTAATAAAAGTATCCCTCTGCTACCAAGTTTGGATCTTGGACTTTGTTTGCCAGTTAACACGGCTATCGTTGAGTTCCTCATTCCAAACATATGCACACATTGCAAAAGGATTATCTTTCATGCATAGAAAATATCCTCTGTAAATCCTCTTCACGTCCCCTTTTAAAATACTGAGGGCTAAATCTGGTAGACTCACCAACTTAGTCCTATACAGATGTCTTTCAAGTACATTGTGCAGTGCTTCTGGGTTGAAATATATACACTAGTACGTAATTTCAGAATACTTCATTCACTGAAGAATGCTGGAGATCCAGATGATGTTACTTTTCTGTAGCCTTCCTTCATTTCTGCAATTCCCCCCACCCCAACATCTGAAAAGACTTATCAGACCAAATGTTAGGAAGAATGCATGGAGAAGACACACCACTATTTAATGATCAGTACAGGTCTAGGAGCACCCTGAATTTTAGGCATATTTTATTCTATATAATGGCCCCACTACATTCAATCTACAGGCTAATGGATTTTTATTTTTTATTTTTTTGGTGATCAGAACCAGGAAAGGGTGATTCTCCCACTCCCAGTTTCCTTTGCACCCTCAAGAGCTGCTCAGGAGAGCTGGAAACCATTCTGGAGCAGATTCTTGGATAGCATGGAAGACTGGATGTGAAGGTGTTCCCAGATGTCCACTTGCATTACATGGGATTTTTGTCTATAATACATACAAGTACTGCATAAATATAGGGGTAGGAATACATCTACAGTATTCCTTGGTATTGGGTAGCAAATGGAAAGAGGTGGAAATGCAATGTAGGGCCAGTGTTCTGTATTTATGATCTCCCGCCAGCCTGGGACTTCCAGCATTGCACATGTTCTTTCCTTTTGCTTGTATAGCCCTTTTGTCATGCTGATTCAGTGTACCTACACACAGAGCAACACTGGTGAAGCTCAAGAAAAAAAGCAGTAAACAGTTGTAAAAGAAGCCAGAGCAAATTTCTTTGCTGCTTGTGAATGAAGCAATGTTAGTAAGGGGAGAAGTCACGGCATACATCTTTCCCACAAGGGTCTAGATTTCTAACATTACCAGAAAAGGGGTGCGTGGGAGGAAAGCAGAGAGGAAAAGGAGGAGGAGGATCAGTACCACCACCACAGCATAAATTACTGTTTGGGATTATTTTCTAGCAATCATTATTTGCTATTGCAGAATGAGAGACCCAGCCCTTTGAGTTTCCATCTAGATCATGTGTTTATTTTAGAACAAATAAAGAGAGGAAGGGTAGGCTGCATTTTCAAATAACAGGATGGCTGTAAGGCCAGCCTTCTCCATCTCATTTTTTTAATGCAATGTGGAAAGTTATAAGAGCTCATCCACAGTGAAACTAAAGCAGAAAGAATCTTCCATGAACATGGTCACAAGAAAGAGAACACCACAAAAACAAAACAAAACCAAGAAACACAATATTCCCAAGTCATGGAAAGCTGCCCCTGGATGCTGCTGAATTGTTTTCAAAAATGACAGCATCTTAAATAGTTTCCGTCAAGAAACAATGTGTACTACTGATGGCAAAAATAGATCTTCTATTTTTTGATAGCCCCACTACCTGATTCCAGTCATACACGAGTAGAGGCATACAGAAGAGGCACCACTGGTTTCCCTTGTGCAATTTTTAATAATCTTCCAAATGCTAGAACTAGTCGCTACAGAGAAGGCACAGCTGTGAAACCCAAAAACCATATGACCCACCTTGTCCTTCCTCCCAGTGGCAACAGAGTAATATCAAATGAGGAAACTGATGTAGTTACACTAAGTTTCCTCACCTCTAGAACTGCTAAGTACTATAATGGCTTAGAACAGGAAGAGGTGGGACACATTTCTTTTTATACCAAAAGTTTGTTGATGGGGAAGGCAATATACAGGGATGTTTTTGACAGTATCTATGCTCATCAACATCTCCATGGAAACCTACGCAGACTAGGAACTATGAAAATGATTTGTACCAGAACTGCAAAATCGAGACTGAGGAGCAGGCAAGTATGGATTGTAGGGGCACATGAAGCAAAGAAGCATTTAGCACAAGCATCATGTTGCTGTTTTTAAAATTTGCTAAGAAAACCACCTTCACTGGAATATTTGGAACATTATCGTTTTCCCTAATCCCCACCCCGGAGGTTTCACACATGAAGGGCAGAGTAAACATGTTTTAAATAGACAATTCAGTCCGTTTTTTAATTAGCTCCACTTTGACATGTGAAAGAGGCTGTAAATCAGAGCTGGATATATTCTGTGTTGAGAGATAATGTCCATCTCAAAGAAGGCAGGAAAAGCAGGTTGAGCTGATGTCTAGTGGCTAAGAGATTGAATGGCAAGTCAGGCAGGTTGTAAGAATTCATTAGGTCGCCTTAATCACTCACTTTCTACTCCGTAAGCTACATGACGTATCAGAATACTGTTTATCTTATGCTTTTGTTATCTTAAGCACTGATAAACTTGCCTCGAGGCAAGATTTTGAAAATCCTGTAGTATCTATGCACTGTGTAAGTTCAATATACACCTTGCCAGACAACACACTTGGCATGTATTTTGGATCTCTGGCTAGGATAAAATTAAATGGAACCTGCACTCATAATCTTATTAATAATCACTGGTGCATAACAATTTTATTTATGCTTCACTTTATTAACGTGAGAGGAAGATCTAGGGAGCTTGATTGGACATTTTTTTTTAAAAATGACTGAAAATAAGCAGTCCATTTTAGGCAGATCAACTTGATCTAAGACATCCTCTTGTTTGGGAGACTTGCCAATTTCTAACACTGCAGCCTTTCATGTTAATTCAGTAGCACGAGTAAAGCAGCTTGCAGCTGTTGAGAGCATTACTATATTATTACTCCATATCTAACAGAGCTCTGATACCAAGCAAGTCCAATTTTATTTGTCCTCTCCCAGGATGTTTAGAAAAATGAAAATCCAGAAAAGCAGCAGAAAAGCCCCCCAATAGTTCAATTGGCAGTCTCCTCCATGTGGCAGTCCGTTCTAATTCATTCAGTGTCCCAGAATGTGTTTCCTAACACAATATGCCCATAGGAAAATTTTTAAACTCTAGCCGCCTAGAGTGGTCCTGACACGACCAGATAGGCGGGATAATAAATAAATAAATAAATAAATAAATAAATAAATAAAGAAAGAAAGAAAGAAAGTGATACTTAAGGCAGTAAAAAGTAAGAAACTCGAGCTGAAAACTCACAAAGAAAAGTAAGCCTCTAGTGTGGCTGCACCACTTGAGAATTCAGGTGGGGACTCTCGTAAAAGAATCCTATGCCCCCTTTAACTCTTTGCAAATAAAAGCCCAGTATGCTAGAAAGATGGTTAAGCTGGTCATTCTGTGACATAGCCTTTTGTCTCTTTCTATGCACTGTTCTGTTACATTCGGCATAACATCAATACTGTGATGCTCCTTGTAAAGACAGTCTTGTACATACAGGAGGCAGCCAAACAACAGTTTTCAGAGCTGATTCTCAACCTGTCCTGTGACTTGTGATTCCACAATCTCTCCCCTCTTACCAAATTGCAGAGACAAAAGTGTGCTGCTGCTTATATACTGCTCCATAGCACTTAAAGCACTCTCTGGGTGGCTTACAAGTTATTTATGCAGGCCACACATTGCCCCCTCCCAGTGAGCTCAGTACTCATTTTACCCACCTGGGAAGGATAGAAGGCTGAGTCAACCTTGAGATGGATACCTGGGATTGAACCCCAGGTCATGAACACAGTTTTGGCTGCAGTACAACAATTTAACCACTGTGCCACAAAATGCAATGGTTATACAAAGAGCGGGTATAAATAGCACGGTAGGTGGGAAGGGCACCAATTAAATACCAGTTCTGAGATGCTCTAATGTCCAACAGGAGTGAGGCCCCAACCACGGATGAAAGCTAAAGAAGGTGGCATGTAGTGTCACAATAAAGCCTTATCCAACATACCCAAAACTTCTAGATACCCATTTCATCTTTTAAAATGCATATGAAACACTTTGTAAAATAAAACTCTAAGGTGTAGAAGTTGCAGTTTTAAATTGATGCACTTGAAAATTGCAGGACAGAATCCTTTTTCCTTCATCACGTCCAGAATTGTCCATTACAGTGGGATCTCGACTTACGAACTTAATCCGTAGTGGAAGGCAGGTCTCAGGTCGAAAAGTTCTTAAGTCGAATCTGCATTTCCCATAGGAATGCATTGAAAACCATTTAATCTGTATCTGCTTTTTTCGTCCATAGAAACTAATGGGAAGCTGCTATTCCGCCTTCTGCCACTAGAGGGGGATATTTTTTCTTTTTTTCTTTAACCTAAGATGACTTAGCTTTAAAAAAAAAGGAAAAAAGAGTTCGTAACTCGAATCTAAGTTCGTAAGTCGAGTCCATATATTCCTATGAGAGAGGTTCGCAAGTCGAAACGTTCGTATGTCGAGCTGTTCGTATGTCGAGACCCCACTGTACTACTTAAAAAGATTAACAGCAGACCTCACTTTTTAAAAACTAGATGACTCTCAAGTGACCTCCACCCCTGCATTTCTATGACTCCAATTCCAAAATTTATTCATTTTTAAAGAAGCCAAAGACTACATTAACCCTTCCTTCTGGACACCAACAGAACTGCACAAGAGGGAAGGCAGAGAAGTTTATTCCAGCAGTATTTTACTGCAGCACACTTCTGGACAAAAATTCGCAAAAGACAAGAGCAAACCAAAGAGAATATATATAAAAAAATTCCACTAAATTTATGACTTTATTCTTGGAAAACTCATTGATGGGATTGAGCAGCTTCTTCTTCTGCAAGATGTGGGATGGGGGCTAGGAGAAAGAGGCGAGTGTTTTCACTTATGTTGCCCTTGGGCTGGTTGAGAGAAGTTCATGCTCTCCCCCCCCCCCATGTCCACCAGGAATGCCTGACAATGGCAGAAATTGCCCCTTCCTTCCTGCACACAAAGTACAAGATGGAAGTTTTGCTGCCACCCCTGCACACAAAGTACAAGATGGCAGTTTTGCTGCCACCCCGTCGGTCTAGTGACCTCCTCCACAGTATTAGTGCATAGCCCCCTAGTATTTGCTGCACAACAGTGTCACACCAAGACAGATTAGTCCATCATTAAATTCCTTCACTCCCCCCTTCGGTGGCAGCAGGGTGGGAGCTTCCTGGGGAGAGTGTTAATCAAACGCTAGCGCATAGGAGGGAATTCCCGACTCCAAGCACCAAAGGGTTACACAGCAAAGGCCACTTAGTCCTCTGTACAAGCATCAGAAAAAGCAGTTCTTCCCCTCCTCCCCTAGCCCCCCTTTTAATAGAATTCAGTACAGAGTCAGTGGTCAGGGCACCGCCAGTTTCAGCAACAGTACAAGATACTCCCACAGCCAGTGCAAGGTCCTCTATGTCAGGATGTCATGGGCTTGGTGTTCTACCAACATTTCCATGCTCTTCACATCTGTGCACCAGAACTCCAGGCGGTCTTTCATGCCTTTTATCTAGAAAACAAATCCACAAGCACTCTTGTAATTGAAGCACAGCAGAATAAAAACTCAGCTAGGATAACCAGCAACCAATTCTTTTTCAAACAGTGTCCTGCATCAGCCAACATTTAATCAGCAATGCTAACTGCTCTTCCACCTTGCAACAGGGGTGGTGACCTTCCACTTCTCTCTTCCACAGGAGAAAAGATCTATGACTCTAGAAGCCCATGTATAGACTTCACCTGGCACAAAGGAACTGCCAGCACTTTTTCCCCCCTCAATGGCTGGCATTACGGCCAAACAGAGCATGGCAGGGGCAGAGTGAGTTGGGTGGGGGAGGATCTGTATTCCAAACTCCGCCATCAATTAAGAGGCCCAAGAATGGACCCCTCACCAACGTATGTTATAAGAAATTTCCTTCTCAGTGAAATCAATAGGAGACAATATTTTTACAAAGACTTTTACTCCCTTAGCTTTTCATTCACTGGCTGGCATAAGCTCTATTTAAATACTAAAATATAACACATAAAAATAAGGTAATGATTAGCCTTATCAACGCCTTTACATACAGTCCCTCCTGTTTTTGCAAAGTAACCTCCCTTTTTCAAGATTGCAAGTCATCCAAGGGGTATTTTACCTGTTGTAAATCCAACACCCGTGGTTGGACCCAAGTCATGTGAACCTTTTTATCCACTTCATCAATACTGCCCTTTACCAAACCTACAGAAAGGGCTTTCATCACTAGCAGTTCCACCTGTAGAAGACAAAAGAAGTCTCTATTGACTTCAGAAGAAACCAGATTGATCCCAGACAAGGTGAACAGTCTGAACATTTGTTACAATTCAGAAATTATGCAGCTAATAAATAGATAATGGCAAAAGATCAAGGTAATAGCCTCTGTAAATATCTGTCTGGAAACATAACTGAGCCAAATATACCATATTTTTTGCTCCATAAGACGCACACACACCCCAAAAAATGTGGAGGGGAAGTCTGTGCATCTTATGGAGCGAAGGCGGCAATTATGGAGCGAAGGCGGTGATTTCGCCCCCGCTGGCCCCGTGGGGGGGGAGCATCGCAAGGGTGAGTGAGCCTTCCAGGACCCTTGCGCTGCTCCCCCCACCCCACACGGGGTCAGCGCGGGCGAAATTGCCAGCTTCCAGGTGGGGGGAGCATCGCAAGGGTCCTGGAAGGCTCAGTCGGACACTTGCAACGCTCCCTCCACCCCCCCACGGAGCCAGCGCGGGCGAAATCGCCAGCTGTGGGGGGGGAGCATCGCAAGGGTGAGTGAGCCTTCCAGGACCCTTGCGCTGCTCCCCCCACCCCACACGGGGTCAGCGCGGGCGAAATTGCCAGCTTCCAGGTGGGGGGAGCATCGCAAGGGTCCTGGAAGGCTCAGTCGGACACTTGCAACGCTCCCTCCACCCCCCCACGGAGCCAGCGCGGGCGAAATCGCCAGCTTCCACGGTAGGGAACGTCACAAGGGTCCTGGAAGCTCACTCAGACCCTTGCGACGCTCCTCCCACCACCTCACGGGCCAGCACTGGCAAAATAGCCAGTTTCTGGGAGTGTTTTGAGGCTTCCCAAGCCTCAAAACACTCCCAGAAGCTGGCAATTTTACCCCCTCGGAGCCTCCAAAGGGTCCTAGGGTGTGTTCCATAAGACGGATCTCTCCATAATGCTCACCAATTTTTAGGAGAAGAAAACAGATTAATTTTTTTCCTGTTTTATTCTCCTAAAATTTTGGTGCGTCTTATGGAGAGGTGCGTCTTATGGAGCAAAAAATACGGTAATACAATTATCTAAAATGAAAACTTTTGGGTAAAATGGAAGACAGCACACAACAAGAACAATGAACTAATATGCTCAATGCCTTCCAAACACTCGGTTCCTTTATACAGTCACCCCAAATGCAACTTGCCTCATTTACAGTGACTTTGGCACTTTTAGCAATCTCCTCAAAAGTGAGTTGCCTGTGATTAGCTGGTCGGGTGAAAGTCATCTGCAATGAAGAAAAAAGGGTGTTAAAAGTAACTTGGACTGAAAAAGGAAAGGACATTTTGCAAAAAAGCCATCAGAATAATTTCCCGTTTCTTACTAGTCTCTATGCAAGAGCTTATCTACAAAACTAGAAGTTTACAAAACGATAGCACATACTTGTTGTCAGAGATACTGTAAAAGACACTGCGAAAGAATACCTAGAAGTAACAATCATTTCCAAATTTATGTAATTAATAGATGTCTATCTAAAGAAAGAAAAATGTCCAAGGTACTTCATCCTAAAAAACTAAAGGTAAAGGTTCCCTTGACATGGTTGTTGTGGGTTTTTCGGGCTCTTTGGCTGTGTTCTGAAGGTTGTTCTTCCTAACGTTTCGCCAGTCTCTCTGCTATCCTCTGAAGATGCCAGCCACAGAGACTGGTGAAACGTTAGGACGAACAACCTTCAGAACACGGCCAAAGAGCCCGAAAAACCCACAACAACCATTAGATCCCGGCCGTGAAAGCCTTCGTGAATACGTTCCCCTTGACAAAGTGTGTTTTTAGGGGATGGTCCTCACCCCCTTTACAAAGCCATAACAGCCAGTGTTTGTCTGTAGACAGTTTCCATAGTCATGCGGCCAGCGCGACTAGACACAGAATGCTGTTACCTTCCCACCGTGATGGTACTTATTTATCTACTTGCATTTTACATGCTTTCAAACTGCTAGGTTGGCAGGAGCTGGGACAAGCAACGGCAGCTCACTCCATCATGTGGATTCGAACTGCTGATCTTTCAACCTTACAGCCCAGAGGCTTTGCAGTTTAACCCGCAGCGCCACCTAGTCTACTTCAGACAGACTTTAAACAGCAAATGTCTTAAGGTCTGAGAAGTTGGGCTTTGCTGTAAGGAAACTAACAAAACAAAATGCGCCATGTACAGTATATGCCAAGATAACAGAAACCTCATAGGTTATTTGAATACTAAGTGGTGGCTTTCATGCATTTGTAAACTCCTGCATGTAAACTACACCTTTCATTGTTTCTACAATGGACAGAGGGATAATTTTTGTTGCTTTGTAACATAAAACAGTTATCTGCTTCTTCACAAAAGTAAGAGACAAATGTTTCAGTTACCCAATACGACCATCTATTCTTAGATCTTTGTCACTACATTTTATGTTGTAAGCTGCCCCGAGTAGACATGGTCTAGAGGGGCGGGGTATAAATTTAATAAATAAATAAATAAATACTGCCTAGAGTTAATGACACAAAAGGTCACATGGTGCCATATGGAGCTGCCAAATTCTTATGAGAAATTACCTACTAAAAGCCTGAGTGAGGAGTCATGATGAAAGTTTACCATTCACACAAACACTCTGGGTCACAAGAGCTCTACATTAAATGGGTGGAGACCAGTGGAGCATTTTTGCTACTCACCTCCATGAGGCAGAGCAGCTGGATCTTCTGCAGGAGAAGAGCTTCATTTGCAGCTAGGTCTGGCTGTAAAATATGACAGTTTGGAACTTTAGCTACTGCAAAAGCTGCATTTAATCTAGTAAGATGCAAACGCCAGGTAAAGTGTGCAAAAAGCACTTAATTTCAGTTTTCTTGCTTTTGTGTCATCAAGACCATAGCTGTAACCCTGCACAAAACCTATAAACCATTTAACACTTCTAAATGCAGCCAATGAAACTAATTAACCAGTCACCACCTTTGGGAAGGAATGTTTAAGACTAAACTTTTAAAGAACTTCAGAAACTTGGAAGGTCACAAAAGGAAATAATAATTACCAATTAGCAACTATTTACATAATGCCCGCCACAACCAGAAAGCACAAATGGAAGTTAGTACAGCACTAGGGCCTATTAGAGGTACACAACCTAATTTTATAGTTCCAGGAGCGCATCAATAACAAGACACTTAAGCCTTTGAAGGACACTGTCAAAAGATGGGAAGATGTGAGTTTGCATAACACACAAGTGCTTACAGACTTCACTTACACTTCTGTTACAAGAAGCCTGGAAATCTTTTTCAAATTTTAATCCTTCCAGTGTATAGATGAAAAATGTATTTGCAAAGTATATGCAAGTCAATAGTCATCTAAAGTCATCACATCAACCACCCACCTGCTGACCCCATGCTGACTTCAAAGCCTGGAATTTTTCCACATTCCCACTGTTGAAGGCATAAAGTGTGTCAATCAGCCATTGTCTGTCTGTGTCTCTCAAAGACTCCAGCACTGGATGCATAAGCTGAGGACAAAAATGAGCCAGAACATTGAGATACAGCTGTTGAATCTTTAAGCACAGTAATTTAACCAATACATTTCTACTTACCAATTCGCCAAAATTATAGACTCCTTCACCGAGGAGTCCTGCCAACCCTAAAGTAAAGGCTCTTTCCTGTTGGTCTGCCACTGAAAAAGAAAATTGTCTTAATCAAGAGACAGTTCTGCCATTTACCCCACATTTCACTACACAGGTATCATTTTGAGTGAGACCTCAAAATGATACCTGTGTACTGAAATGTATTAAGAGTATTTCCAGCTTACTACACATGTGCATGTATACGTCTGTATGTTTATAAAGAAACAAAATTAGCTGTGAACATTTCAGACAGAAAAATGTCAAATTCCTCAACCCACTTTAAAAAAAGAATGTAATGTATTTTACAGACTTGCTTCAGTGTAAAGAGGCACATTCAATTGATTTGGAATACTTTCTCAAGCAACAGGATAGAACAAGAAGGATGAGCGCTGGACTGCTAACTGGGTGAGAGATGAGGATATTTTAAGTATGTAGAGCAAAAAGAGGTGTAAGGTAATGTGACATAACATCCCACAAAGTCCCAAACAGTTATTCAGTTCAGCTCTAACTTTGGGGGTTTCAGGCACAGACCTCAATTTACCAAGTTTTGCTACATACTGAAATTTCTAAGCCTTATAGCTATGCCTCCAAAACTGGAAACAACCTCTGATTGTCATACAAATTCTTCTTTACTAGGCCTGCTCTTCTGAGAATTAAGAATTCTAACAATAAGGTTGACAGAAGTCTACCTCCACATGGCATGTAACTCTATAAATCTAGCAGACAAAATAAGCGCAACATAGAAATAAAAACAGGAACTACCTGGCAGATCTTTGACATCTATACAGCCCAGGAACCTTAATGCATCCTTATAATAAGAGGCATGATTCCCAATTGTCTGATAATATTTGCTGGAGAGATCATAAAAGCGGCTGTGAACAGATGTCACACCAGGAAGATTATTTAGCATCTCCTCAACCTCCTCAATGGTTTCCTAAAGAAAACAGAGAGAATACCAACTTTTAATTTTTAGAAGTATTTTATCTGCATCTACGTATCACCATGCTTGACGCCCTTTCTCTTGAAGCATAACCATGTTACAGAATCTTGTGATGTGACTGACAGTCTAATAGTTTGTCCCACCCTCTGTCACAAAATCAGGAATATTTAATTTCTGGAATAAATAATAGTTAACTCCTAAATGCTATTATTACAGTCCCTATAATGCCCAAAACTGAACACTATGCATTAGGAAACGTTTATGTTAATAGCTAAGAGTAGCATAAGAATTGCAAAAACCATTTGATACTCCACAGTCACATAAAGTTTCATCAATATTAATACACAAATATAAATATTTTCTCACCTTTGTGACTTGTAGGTCACCAATGTTTAATTTCAGGGCCCCGATGGCTGTTTTACATAAAATCACGGCTTCATCACTGCTTTTCACCTGCAGCAACAATGCAAATTGCATATTACAAAACAGCTACTACAGGCAACTAGTGCCTGGTTGATGCAGCACAGCAGTGTCAGCAACACTTGGCAAAGGGTGTACCTTCATTTCTGTCCTTGATCATTTACTTACAGAGAATGAAGTAACATTTGTTGACCAATTTAAATGTATTGAGAACCATTCTATCTCAGTTGATCATATATTAATTACAGAACTATCACACATACTTGCCTTTTCTCGGGTTTTTTCCAGAAAAGTAAGCGCCACGTTAGGATCTAAAGAGGTACAAGCAAAATCACAATGAGGTTCATATAATCTCTGGCCGGATTCTTTCACAAAAGACTTAGAATTAAGAGCCTGCTTGCATGCTATTTTTCACCTGAGAATAAAACAAGAGCAGGAGAACTCAAGCATGTTCCCTCCTTCTACTCCCAGAAACAATGAATGATGAGATGCTTCCTCAGGCCTCTGATCTCAAAGACTTTATGGTCTAATGTTCAAAGGCAGAGGAAATCTCACGTTCACATTAACGTACAATCTCTTATTTAATTATTCCATTTGTCTCTACAGTACAGTGAGGAAAGTGAAATGTCAAAATAGACGTATCTGTAGAATTCCTAGGGTCAGATATTTTGCATTTACATTAATGCTATGTGATAGAAGTATGCATATTTAGATAAGTTAAAGACTATCAATATCCAGAAAGCTAAAAATGTAATTTCCTCTTTCTCAAGTCTGAAAAGGTCAATTGCTTTAAGAACTTATGAAGACCCCCATTGCTAGATTCCATTTTGACCCTCTCTGTTCTGGAAACGATAGCAGAAAAAAGAAAAAAAGAAAGAAATCATACTTTACCTGTCATCTGCCGCACTACATGAAGAATTATTTCTACAAGGGACAAAGGATTCACCCTAGAATAAAGGAAATTATATGAACAAATGGAATTATAAGGCATTTAATATTATATGTATATATTTTTAGTTTTTAGGCACTAGCTTTTTTTACCTGTGTTCAAATTCACTGATAAAGTTCTCATATAGCTGAAAATCAAAGAAAAAGAAAAACTTTAGCAAAGCTTGTGATTACTCAGTCTCAGTCATACTAACATCAGGAAGCCATCATGCAACTGAAGTTTGTTTGTTTTTTTGCTAGCACTAGGACCAGTGTAAAACACACAATGAAAGCAATAATTGAGGAAGAACAGCATAAAACAAAAATCTGAGAAAACAATCTATGTTCTTATAGGAAAATGCCATCTAATGCAATGGACAAATATAAGCCCATACTCATTTTTCAAAGGAATTCCAGAAAGCTGAATGTGCTTGTGTGTGTCATGTGGCATCAAGTCAATTATGACTTTTAGTGAACCTAATAGCCCTTGAAAGGTAAATGAGATATTTAAGGAGTGCCTTCAACAGTGGCATGCCCAGTGAGTTTCCATGGCTCAGCAAGGATTTGAGTGTAGATCTCTTGAGCCCTAGTCTGACACTTTATAAATTATACCACATTGGCTCTCATAGTATTTAAGTACTCAAATCTAGCACAGTTTAAACTGTAGTATTCTTCACAAACTGAATTATGATGGAACACACTGTCTTAAAAGCATTGTAGCCTGATACATTTACACACACATTATCACAGAATCATTGGGCTGATTTCAAACATCATCTTCCATGAATTGAACTGTTCTTTTCACTGGTATAAGGAACTGAGATCCAGCAGTTTTTCCACCTAGGAAGGGACTGGATACTTTCTATATATTATTCTTCTGCAGCCCCAGAGGCAACTTACATGGTGTTCTGAAGGGTTGTCCAATCAAGTAAGAGCAGACTTTCAGGGGTGTGGGGGGGGGGCGGCTGAAGAGAAGGAATTTGTAGAATCACACAGTATATGAAATTCTATTCTGCACAAGTATGGATGTAGCCCACTGGGTTATAACCAAATGCCTCCATGGGTAAAAGGTTCATTGATCTGGCAAAGGTTTTTATGAGTGTAGAGTGTCTGCTACAATCTGCACCTCAGAAAACCTAGTCCAAAGCACTGATGATGTCTTTGGAACAGTGTGTAACACAAGGGAGAGGAATGGAGAAATGCAGAAAAATTTGTGCAGAGGAAATCAGCTCCCCTCTTTTTGCTCTGTACTAAATCAAAAACCTTCCATCAGTAGAGGGATCACAACTATATGTGGTGCACAAGGTCACGGAAGCATTTGTAAAGCATCTGGTTCAATCTCTACTGGATGCAGCAAATCCAGGCTGAAGCATCATCACCAAGAAGCCTCTAACTGTTCACACTGATATAATGCCATTACATTTCATTTTATATCAACATATGTACTGACATTACACTTAGATTAAAAATAGCACTGTGATCTTTGTGAGCTCACATTACAACAGTGAAGAGCTGCACCTGATGAAGTGGGTTGCAGTGTATGAAAACAGGTACAATAAAACTAGTTTATCTTTAAGGGGCCACAAGGTTCTTTGGTTTTGTTGCAGCAGACTAATATGGCGATCCCCTGGAAATTTTAGAAACAATTAGAACTTACTTAATATTAGGATACCAGCAATATTAGTACAGTAAACTCCTGTATCCACAGTTTTACTTATCTGCAGTTTGCCCCCTGCCCTTCTATGCAGAATATATGGGTTCCCTCATATCCATGAGTTTCAGGCATCCACAGTAGATTGTGGAAGCAATCCCCTGCAGATAAAGGCCCTACCGTGTTAATAAATGACTAGGAAGGTGTGTTTATTCCATCTTCTCCAACACTTAAGAAGCTGACTGCTTTCCTACATTACTGAAGAATGCTTTTTACTGTGACAATACCGAGACATCTGGCAAATAGGAATAATCCAAATGCAACCCACTACCATTATAACAGTTTTGACAACACTAATGAGAATACCTTGATGAGTCCATCTCCTTGGGCAAAACAGGGATCCTGTACAAAGTCCAGGACCTGTAGAGTCAGCTGGTGCCACAATCTGTAAGTCAGAAACAGATACACTAGTGAAAATGGAAAACAGAAGTACTGACAAATATGCAAATCAGAAAAAGCTAGAAGAGGTCTGCCATTCTTCTGGACTCCCAAGTCCCAGAATTCTCCAAAAAGGAAGCTGCCACACTACATGAAGAACTATTTCTACAAGAGACAAAAGATCCACCTCAGAAGAAAGGGAGTAATATCAACAAATGGAATTATAAAACAAGTATACTCTACCAGCAGAACGGGCCAGTTAAAACAGGAAACTGACAAAATTAGTTTATCTAGAAACGTTAATCACTTAAAGTGGGTAGGCTAAGAAAGATCTTTATTTGAATGGATGATGTTTCTGTCAGTTACAGTAGATAGGCCAATGGTTTGATTCATTATACAGCAGGTTTATATATTTACTAATACAGTACATCTCTGAGCACTGCACAATATTTTAACATCAATCCTTAAGGTCATAAAGCATTCTCTCATTTTTCACTGTGGCAGGAAACACACCCTCATGGCCAAAAATAGGAATTATTTTTAACGCAACACTATTAGTAAACTATCATTTGGAACTATGCCAAAAAGGATGGCTTTTTGTTATTGCTATGGAAAAAATATGGACATATCTCTTTTACAGCAATGAGGGATGCATTCTAAAGTTAACACTATACCAGAATTACACCAACATTGGGACGAGTATTTCAGTAATCTATTTGCAGAGCTGAAATGTTGCCAATGTAAAAAGTTGGAAAAATCTCCTACACTTGTTACTCTGCAAAGAGCAAGAGAGGTGCTCTGTAGCCAAAAGGTCACAACAAGTACTTAACTGTATGCATCTACACAAAATAAAATGTTTATTTTTTAAAAAAGAAACCTTTGCATGACGCCAACTAGGTTTGGGCAGTTATGTCAGCACCAAATTTCAACTGAAACTGTTTGATACTTCAAAAGCCTACATTTACCCCAGCTTGAATCAGGGCACCTAAGATCTGAATTTAGAAAGAAAGTAGAAAAGTCCAAAAAAGAAAAGTCTTCCAGAGTGAGATGCACTGCGTTAGTTTAAAATTAGAAACTGTATCCCTCTAAGGGCCAAAGCACACATTACATGAGGCCTGTGACTTGAAGAGACATCTTCTTAACCCTAGAAAGCATCTGGCTGCACAGCAGCTTTTCTCAGCACGAGTCATTTAGTGCACTTTGCTTTGTGACTGGTTTTCAGGACTTAAGCACAGGGTTCCTTCTTTAGTCCGACTTCTAACGTAAGAAAGTCTGCCTCAACGGCTGCTCTCCAACGCAACCAACGCTTCCGGGGCTGAGGAAAACTTAACAGGGGAGCAGGATCTGACAGAGCAATATTCTTTCGGCTAAAAGGGGGGAGAGAAAGAGCAGCAACAACCAAAGGTCAAATCAAACGTG